CTAATGACCTACTAGCAAGTTTGATTTTAACTCTGGATGTGGCAAACATTCTGGAAAATATAAGATAGTCAAGCCGTCATGTAATTTTGTGAAAAACATATTCTTTGCCTTCTGTGCTTTGCATGCAGAAGGTGTTTGATGCCTCATGACTTTATGTACGACTTGAACCTCCTAACATCTCTGTTCTGTGGCGTTGTATTTAGGCTGAGTAGCACAGCAGTCCTCAGGAACTCCTGCAGACCCTCCAAGGTCAAGGACAGGCCTTTAGATAGCATACAGACCATTTGATTATGTGTCTTCTGTTGACGGAAGAAGGTCTTTCTCATCCCCTAGTTAGGGGGAACTGTGTTAAAGGCTTGAGATATCTATCTCCCACCACCATATGGTTTTAAATAATTTGTACTTGATTTGGTGCTGTGGGGCAGTCACTTGGCTCTTTGGAGTAGTGAGACAAAAGCAATATCTTCTGTCTTCTCTGAGTACCATAATTGTCTTTTTGGTTGTATAAACAATATTTTGGGGACTACAAACTATAGAAAAATGTCTGGTCAAAAGTTTGGTAAATCAGCAGCCCCAGAGGCTATATTTTGCTACTCTGAATCATAGTCCTATCAGTTCTTCTGTAAGGTTTAAGTGACTCCAGTATTTAACCATTTTAAATTTGGATTTTTAAATTAAACAATTGCAACAATATGTTTGTGAGTACAGTTGATTCCCCTTCTGCAAGGAATGCTTCCAGGAGTACAGCTGATGCTACGTTATCACTGTTTATTGCTTCCTTTTTACTCCTGTGTTAACGTATCCCCACAATATTACAGCAGGGTAGTGATAACAGTTTTCAGATTTGTTCTTTTAACTGGATTGTAAAGTCATTTTTAGAAAATGGCTATTTTCTCTGTTCTTTGCATTCACAGCATTGTCTGATAGCTTGCTATGAATCTGTTTCGATATACTAATGATTTACAAAATTAACTCCTCTCCTTTTGTTTTAAGTAGCTTCAGGGAATCTGATCTAAGCTGTCATTGTGTGCAATCTGTCTACTTTGAATGTGTTTCTCTTTTTCTCATCTGGTGTTATATGAATTTAACAAAGTGTTATGTAAATATACACATACCTATATAAATATCTATGATATGATATTTATTTTTATGTTTTTACTGTGTGGCATTACAAATATCAAGTTTATATGAAGTTAAAGATTGATTTATATCTTACTTTTACATACAACATGCTGGAAATACATTATATAATTTCAGGTGAAAATAACTTCAAATTTTTTCTTATAGAGTGCAGCCTTAGTAAGGGTATATGAAAGTTCTGTGTTTAAAGAACCTGGCAGAACACTGATGAAGGACTTATGTTAGACTTCAACACTGAATAATTATAAGAAATTTGAAAGCTATGAATAGGGATAACATCTTTGACCTTGACTGGAGTTTGGTCTTCTCTATGGAGTGCAGGACTCAATTTTACAGGAAGAGTTTGCTCACTCTTTTATTACATTCTCTTTTTGTTGCTAGCATCATTCTCCATTCAAATGGGGAGTAGTATCTTGAAATTAATGCACAGTTATTATAATAGGATAGACAACGCAGCTGAGAGGGTGTATATGTACCCTTTAAATTGTGCTGTTCAGCTGTTCTTTCTCTTCTTCATTCATTTACCATCCTCGCTTTCTGGATAGGAAATGTACCCAGCCAAGCATGCAGGCATGCACAAATGCCTGTGTATCTTCCAAATTAAAAACAAAACTTGCATTTAATAGATTACATAATTGCAAGTATATAAAATGTACATGAAATCATGTACTGATTTCTGTGTCATTTCGGTATGTCCCAATTTAATGGTCAGTGACAACTTGTTTTAGAGGCCCATATTTGTTCCAGAGTGTTTGATATCATCCGTCATAGTTTGAATTCAGAGACACAGAATTGTAAGGAAATTTTCCTCATAAATATGATTTTGAAATGTTAATACTTTTATGAAACAGAAATGTTTGTACTGGATCTGTGGTCCTTTGTGGCTTCTGGTGTTTTCTGCCTTCCATGATTTCATCTCCTAAATCTCATTATATGACGGCTGAAGATATTATCACTTTAAAATATTATTTTCCTTAGAAGAAATAGGCACAGCTGAGGTCAAGGGAAGTTGATAGGGATCTTCTGTGTCTGTAAAGATAATCCATTCCTCTGAGCGCTACTGAGAGACTTTTTTATTAGTAGCATGTTAGGATTTCTTCTGCTGACAGGTGAATATGTTATGAGGTATGTATTCCATAATGACATCTTAAAATTTTTAGAAAACACAGTGATTAAATAACATTTTCTTCTATGAAAATTGTAAGATCAAATTTTAATGCCTAAGTTTAACTCAACGTTCTTCTATTCTCATCTTTTAAATTGAATCAGTACTTAAGGTATCATTTTTCTTGAATTGTCTTTCTGCATATAGAATTCTTTTTGAAATCTGTGAAGATGGTAGCTAAAAAGAGAGGACAAAAGACCATTGCTTTTTTCAGGAGATTTTGCAACTTTAAAAGACATTTTAAAACACTGCCAATTTGACATATATTTGATATGTATCTGAGAATTGAAATATTTAACTCTGTTGTTAGTTTATTCTTTTATTTGGAAACCCACGAAGCATTTGAAAGATTTGATATTATCTGTCTCTTTTTCAGTCAAGGTGGTTACTATTTATCTGTGTTCTAAATACCTGGACCTCTTCATAACTGATGTACCACTTCTGTGATCTGACTGACAGCACTTACAAGCTAATCACAAGAATCAAATGCACTTGAGCCTTACTGTACTTTGAAAGTTTGGCCCTTCATACCAAATGGTACATTTGCTAAGTGGAAAACAGCACTTTTTTGGTAATACATGCGTGTATACATACATACATACATAAATTGGCCTTCTAGTATCAATTCGCCTATCTAGTATGCAAAGTTTGCAGAATGACCACAGATAAAAGAAAGTGTATGTGGTCATGATGCATACATTGAATTCAGCGAGTGTGTTACTTTAGCTCAATTCACAACTATTTGTGTTTCTTTGTCTTTAATAGTATTGCAGTGGAGGTAAGAACTATGTGGTGGCTTGACCTTGGCCAGCTGCCAGACGCCCACCCAGCTGCTCTCTCACTCTCCCTCCTCACCAGGACAAGGAGAGAAAATGAGATTAAAAAGTTTGTGAGTTGAGACAAGGATGGGGAAATCCTTTATTAATTACTGGCACTGGCAAAACAGGCGCAAAAAGGAAAAAAATAAGTGAATTTGTGCCCATTTTTATATCTAGCATACAAAGTCTTCAGAAAGACCACAGGTAAAAGAAAGTGTATGTGCTCATGTTGCATACATTGAATTCACCGAGTGTGTTTCTTTAGCTTAATTCAACACTATGTTTCTTTGGCTTTAATAGTATTGCAGTGGAGGTAAGAACTATACCTAAGATAAAGAGAAGGAACATGAAGGAGCAAAAAACAGGTCCAAAAATAAAATAATTGGGGTTGGGTTTTTTGGTTTGTTTGTTTGTTTCTCACTGTGGTTAACTTCTTTCTTTCTTTTAGTGTCACTCCAACTACAATAAAGTTAATTTATTGTTATCACTTTCTTAAACAAAGAACTGGAACAATTTTCTGGAAGACAAACTGAATGTGTTGGGAGTAAGATGTAGAATGTGGTTTTGGATCTCTAAAGATACAGAGAGTTCAGGCTTGCATTTCTGAACTTTGGAAGGATGGAAAGGGGCAAAAAGCAATGCAGATGAGGAATTGCTTGTTTGGCCCTGTATATGGTGTGTAGCATGCTGGAAATACTTTTCTTATGTTCAGAAGGACATTCTTTGTGTATTTCACCTTCTCACCCCTTAAATTACTTCTAAGTTTTTAAATAATCTAATTTTAAAAATCCTGCAAAAGTTTTTTATTTCCAATTACATATTTACTGAACAACCTTGTCTAGATTCAGACTAGAAGTGAAGTAGGTCTTCTCCTGTTGCTGAGATTGTATGTTCTTTTGTCATTATGGATTATTTTACTTTTTTGAAGAGTTACCTTGCATATTCTTACTCTCTACTAGTGACAAATATTGTTCAATTAAGTATTTAGTTAGTAAATCTTCAGGAACAATATTTACTAAACAGTGTGAAGTGTTTTATTACTTTTGTTCCTGGGTGGTAAACTGAAGGCTTTGATTCTGCAAGGACCTACATACATGTGCATTTAATTTTCAACTACTAATAGACCTCACCTGGCTGCCTAGGCTACTCTGGTGTTTGCAGGCCTCTGCTTTTCATTTTTGTTTTTTTGAAGGTGTGACTACAGTTCATTTAGACATGGGCAACCTAGCTTTAAAACAGCTAGTTCAGGTATTGCTAGTAGTTGAGGTACAGTTGAACTGATTTTTCACTGTGAGTTATCTTTTAGAGTCTTTATGTAGTTTCTTGGATGGTTTTGCAGCCTGTGTTGGTCTATATTGGTACCTGAAGTTTGAAGAAAACTTGAATAGTTCTACCGAAGCTATAATCTCTCCTGTCTGAAGCATTGATGTGCTCTAAAGAAGTCTTAACGTTGTAATGCAGAAAGTATTTTCAATTTGTAATTTAGATTTCCACCCTGAAAAACCTTTCTTAAATTCTTCTTAATTCTATGAACTTTAAATAAGCAATTGCTTTTAAAGGGATGAGGTTTAAATTGGCACAGAGTTTTGTTTTATCAAAAATGACAATTAAACAAAAATATGAAAAAATCTTAGTAAATAATATGTGGAAATTCAGTTTCATATACAGTTTTAAAAATAGTGCACAAAAACATTCTTTTTGGTTTAACCAAAATCGCATTCATTTAGTAGTGACTTAGTAATGTCATTTGCTGAAATGGCATATTTATTTTGGGGTTTAGTGGTCATTAGCAGCTCTGAAAATGATGGTATTTTAAAATGGAATTATAATGTTTGTTAATGGCATACTAAAGTTAACCTTCTATTTTATCATTTCAGTTATTCATGGTGGACAATGGAGCAGATGACTGGAGAATAGCCATGACTTATGAGCGTATTTTCTTTATCTGCTTGGAAATACTGGTGTGTGCTATACATCCCATACCTGGGAACTATACATTCACATGGACAGCCCGGCTCGCCTTTTCTTACGCTCCATCCACAACAACAGCTGATGTGGATATTATTTTATCTATACCAATGTTCTTAAGACTATATCTTATTGCCAGAGTTATGCTTTTGCATAGCAAACTTTTCACTGATGCCTCATCTAGAAGCATTGGAGCATTAAATAAGATAAACTTCAATACCCGTTTTGTTATGAAGACTCTAATGACAATATGTCCAGGAACTGTACTGTTGGTTTTTAGTATCTCGTTATGGATAATTGCTGCATGGACTGTCCGAGCTTGTGAAAGGTAAGGTTGTTCTGTTTAGTTCTTTCTTCTGTCTTTCTATTTTTCTCTCTTGCTTTGCCTTTTCAGTTTTGGATTCAGGGGACCTAAATATTCAATGGAATGGAGCTTCCAGGTCCTTGATATTTTGAGTGTTGGTTGGGTTGTATTCTGTATCACAGACTGTCAGGAATGCTTTGCCTTTTAATCTGAAGGACTTCTACAGAGGGGTTTGTGCCATGCTGTTTACCATAGCATTGTGATTTGATTTCAGTGTTTTGATATAACTTTAGGTATGTTTGCTAAAACACAGTGGACAGATACCATAAAATGTCATTAAGAGTAGTTGCTGGTATTCTGCATTGATATCAGCTTTCATTTATTTCATTTGTAAGTTAAATTTATTGAGGATAAGGTAGATGCCCATGTAAAATTCCAGTGGAAGATGTTTGGGGTTCTTTTAGTTTGAGTTTTATTGTCCTGTAAAAAAAAAAGGAAGCGCAAAGTACTGTTGGGTAGTTGGCAAGAGCAAAAAAGCAGGCAGAACAATTACAGTAATAACTCTTTTCTTCCCCTAAAAATCAGAATAACTGCATTAGAGAGGCAGATTTCTATTGATTTCAGCTAGTTGTCCAACTTCCCCCTCCCACAGAATTCACTGTAGTTGCAGAATAAATGGCTATCAGTGCTGACAGCTTGAAATTTAATTTCTCAAACACAGCTTTAACAAAAAAGAAATGAGCTTCTGATTGGATAGGATTGCTTAGGAATATAAAATAGGTTAACTCTAAGGAGACAATTACAATGATTCTCTATGAAAGATTTAATGCCTGGCACAGCTCTTAGACCCTGGAATGAATTTCTTCTTACTTAAGCTGGAAGATCTTCAACATATTTAAGGCATTTCTGCTGCTGGTTGTTGACCATTTTGTTTTTCCTCTTCCTTTCCATGTCTGCCCATTTTAGAAGAAGTTTAGGGGAGTTATTTGTGACAGCTAGCTGATTGAAATCAGCAGTTAAATTGCACACCAACTGTTATGGTTATTTTACTTTTGGAAGTTACTCCTTACATCACTTTTCCATTTGTTACAAAGAAAAATAGCTAATCTTATAAACTGAGTATAGAGATCATGTTGATGTTTTGGTTTTTATTGTTAAAATTCCCAGAATTGTGGAATGTAGTTTGTTACAGTAGATGCTTTCTGTCAATATTGTTTCCTCATGTTATGGCAAGATTAATCATTTAAGAATGTTCTGAAAATGCCACGTTAACAGGGACATATTGTAGTTTCAAAATATTCCCCGTAATGGGAGCAGATGGAGCACTCTAGATATCGGCTGAGTCTGTAATAGTTGTATTTTAGTAAACGTTCTCTTTTCAGATGTAACTGACTTCTGCAAAGCCTCTCCCCTTTGTCTCACATTCTTCACCTCTGTTCACCAGTTTTCTTTGAACAGAATTAGTGCTCAGGAATTCCTGGGTGTCTACTCAAGCATATCCCAAATTGTTACCTGTGAAGTGGCTCTGAATAACTTCAGCATCCATTGCTGTCACTGTTTTACATATCACTGGTTCTATTACTATTACTATTACTATTACTATTACTATTACTATTACTATTACTATTACTATTACTATTATTACTTAAAAGTAACATTAAATAGTCATTGTGTTATGAACCTTTTAATAGATACACACTCAAAATAAGCTTATAAAACTTGTGCCTCTCTCACAGTGAAAATTACTGAAATAGAACTGAAGCACTTCTGCATCACTGTGATCCTGGGAAGACACTTACTTGTTTGGTCAGGTACACTGAACTCAGGGTTGCGAACAAGACTGAATTTTCTTTAGCTCTGTGCTAAATTAGTAATAGATTTTCCACATTTTAATTTGCATTTGCTGTCCTTGAAGTGACTGTAATGGTTTGGACAGTAAGCTGGATAGCCACTGAGTCCTCTAAAACTGAAACAAAACACAACTAAAAGAAAGTTAAATATAGAAGTGAGTATTAGATTAATATGTCTCTAGCATAATTACCTTCTGTCAGTGGAGTCCAGTCCAAGATTATGTTCCTTCACATTTAACAAAATTGTTAATTTTATGTTTCAAAAACACTAAAAGGGATATATTTTGGCTTTGGGAATTAGATACTTCTGTCATTCATGCTAGTTGCACAGCCAATTTTGCGTCTTTTGCGTCAGATTTTCCCTTGAGGGAATACGTAAGTATTTTGCCAAATGAATGATACTGGCTCTGGATTCCAGTTACTAATTAGTCCACCAAAAACCTGTAGATCCATAGCCAACAGAGAAGTACATTTTTAAACAAAGTTATCAGAAGAAAAACCCAAAACCCCACACATTGGATGGCTCTTAACACTCTTCCATCTGAAGCCACACATCCCTTTTGGTAGAGCTGGAGACAGATATAATAGCATTTGTCATGGGAAAGGACAAGTATGGCCACTGAATCCATTTTGTGCTGTGTAGAGGTCATAGTCCTCAGAAGATATCTCCCGAGATCTTAATGGCTTTGATTTACTCTGTGGTTAAAAGTTTAGCTTACACAAATAAAATATGTTTCTTTTATCTGCTCTTAAATTGATTTTTTTTCTCAGTTTTAACTAGAGGGAATCTTTATTTGTTGGAATAGACTATTTTATGTACACAAAATGATCCTGAAAATAAATGTTTTCATTACAAGGAGTATTTGCTATTCCACTTGACACTATACATGAAACCCTAGTGAATTTTGATACATTTGGCAGAAATTATGAATTAGGCAGTAGTCTGGTGGCTTTTTTTTGATGAGGGGGGATTTACATGAATGAAATTTGATAGTGTTGTTCTTAGCATCACTCTAGCACCAAGCTCTTTAATTTATGGTATGTAGTAGTTTTACATAAAGCTTTGCGCTAGCAATTTCAGTATTTCTTCAGTGTGTGAAGTCAGTTAGCTGTCCATCCAAACTGGAACAAGATGATGGTGATAGGATTTAATAGATGAAAATATTAAAATTTTGGAACAGAGATGAAACATTCTCATGTTATTCCATGTCCTTGGTGAGGTGGGAAATCTCAGTAGGCAGTGTCCTTACTGTGAGGTTGTGTGTGCTCAGCAAAAGCTGTTGCTGCTGAATGACAGCCTGATTTTGAGACTGTCGTTTTATTCGAAGTCAGATTTTTCTCATTGCAGGCTGTCCTGGGAATAGGAAAAGAGATTTGGAAGCACTGCATTTCATAGCGAGAAAGGTAACATGACAGAGCATCATTATCCGTCTCTCTAAGAAAAACCCTGTACAGATAGGTTATGGGTTGAGGGAGGTGAGTTGACCGTCTGAATAAAGACTTCACTGCTTTAATGGTCATCTGACTGATCAGTTGATATACACTGAACTAAGGCAGGACATGCGTCTTTCTCAGTGCTTTGATGGCTGTATTGTTAGCTCCCAGAATGCTAATTATAGCAAGTGACACTTTGAGTCGGTGAGCAAGGTATTTTCCAGGATTGCAGTTTAAGGTCATCCATGAGGGCAGAATGTAGTACAGATAATGATGGTGGACAGCCAACTGAGTATAAATGGGTTGCTAGGGCTGCAGAGTAATCTGGCTGAGGGAGTTTGGGAGGAAAAGGTGGAGAAAGCATGGAAGTGTTGCTGTATACACAATGCCAGAAACTCTTGCTTTTATTGCTCAGGTTTACATGTCTGTTTTGAGGGGAAGATTACCTTACATGGGTTTTAATATCTACCTTTTCATTGCCAGCATCAGTATATTGCTGTCTGTCATACGTGGGCTTCATAATGAAAATCTAAATTTTTTATTAGGTCTAACTCAATAGATGTTTGTGTTTATAACATCTCTGAGGCACACAATCTAGAACACTTATGAATATGTTACTTTTATATATGAATTATGAGCCCTGTAAGCAGATTACTTTTTGCAGTCTCCCATACTAATCTTGTTACTGAAATAGCTCTGTGCATGGTCATCAGTTGTTTATAGCAGTTAAAATAGAAGTATTTGGTTTCTCAAAAAAAAAAAAAAAGGTAATATGCATGGCGTTATTGAAAAGTCATTGAAAACTCTGACAAATTTGCTTCGCTCTTCTGGAGAAGACCTGTCTCTGCTGTGAGAAGTGTGCTGCTTTTCTAGGTTATGTAGAAGGTAGTCGCTCTTGTTGATTTGTTTTTTTCTGTGCAAAGGAAGAAAGAACCTTGCCTTTTGAATGCACATGTGGCTATAACTATGCCCATGTATCAGGGCAACATGAGCCACATGTGCCCACGTTACACTGATGTATGTCCAGAACAGCTCGTATCACATGCCTGGAGTTACTGTGGATTTACAGCAGCGGAACTGAGAACAGAAGAGGATTTTCTGCTTCCCCAGAGAGCACATTTTTGGCACCATTTTTGGTTCTGTTTGTACCTCTCTCTGACTTCTGGCAATGAAGTCAGTTCAGATTGAGCAGTTTGTTTAGTCAGCATTTCTTCCTCCCATTGGCTTCTGCTCTGTATTCTTTCCTTGATTTAACAAAAATGCAAACAAACAAACAAACAAACAAACCCAAAACCAAAATCCATCTGTGTGTGAAGGTGAAATCCTTTTCTGCTCTGTGCTCATTAGTGTTTTCTATAAATAAATAAATATCTGTCTTAATTCTTGGAAATCTGATGCCATCACAACACTTTCCGTAAGGAGCTCACGCATGACAACTGCTAGGCAAATGTTAAGGATTCATTTGATACAAGCAGGTGGATGCACCAAGACTTTCATTTGTAATTCATGCAGGAAAAAATGTTTCTTAGCTATCTAATTTCCTCGCAGTGCGTGTTTGGGTTCTTTGGTTGGCTTGAGAACTTTATCTGAAGTTGTACACTGCACGTATAATCTCAAGGCCACACTCTACTGGAAATTGCCGTTAGCAGTCTCTGCAGTGCCAGCGTGAAGATTCTTGCTAGTAGTTTAAGAAAAAAAAGAAAAAAACCAAGATTGGTATTTAGTTTTAAACCCATTTTT